GACTGGTTTAGGCCAATGATTTGTAAGAGGAAGTAATGTTAGTCACTTCTGGGCAGAGGCAGTTAAAGGTCCAGGTCCCTAAATCTCCAGCTCTCTGTTCCCCTGTCATTGCAACTTCAGAGGGCATGTTTCCAGTTGATGCTGCTATAAGATATGGTGGAGCATCCACTAGCCTAAGTTTCTGAGTTACTGTGTGGGGTGGATCCCCCTACTCAGACCCTGCCAACTAGTGTTGAACGTGTAATATGTATTACATACTGTATGATGTCCTAAGACATTGGAGTTCGTCTGTTGAAATATTTAGTGTTAGTTACCCTACAGCTAGCAGGAAAATGGCATATGTTTTTTAAATTTAATTTTATGTTTTAGGCTGTCTTGTTATAGGTAGTCCGAAGTAGCTTTTGAGATTACTATAAGGCTTGCTTGCCACAGACCCCAAATTGCAGTACTTTATCCTGCACAGGATTTTATAAAAAACATCTAGTTTAAAAGGGAGCAGGTGTATAAGTTCTGACTGGAGACAGAGGCCCTTGTAGAACCCATTTGAGAACTTTGGTGACTCTTGTCAAGCCAGGAAAAATGACAAAAATTAAAAATATTGGAAGAATGGGGATTTCAGCAATAGATTAAGAGTTCATTGGATAGTATTTCAGGAAAGAATACATCTCAGGTAGAGAGGATGATAAGCAACAGCTACTGCTTGGTATGTGACTTTTGGGAATATGGGATGATGAAAACAGCTTTTGAAACTTGGGCCATGTTATTATTGCTGGAGGTAGGGAGAGATGGGTGTAACTGAATGTAGTTTAAAGTATTTTGGGGATTGAGTACAAGTGCTGTGCACAATTTTCATAAAATATGGGAGTATGAACAGACAACTCATTCACACTCTGCATGCAAAAGTCTCGTAGACCAGCTTTGGAATGCAGTATCACGAGTCATTATCATTACAGTGAATGCGTTTTACGGGCTGAGATTCCCCAAGAGCTATCTGCCATTCATGTAATCATGCCTGCTATATTTGTTGTCAGGTTATTTTCCCCTCTGGTAAGTAACCTTCTTAATATGAATGTAGTGAGAGGGTTTTTTGCATGTTGCATATATTCCCTAGGGCCCTCCCTAAACTAATTACTTGAGGGAAAGATGAGAGGTTCTATCAAATACATTAGACGCAGATAAGATTTTCAATGGCATTTGATAATAAATTGAATAATCAATGTGTTGAAATCAAGGAAAATTCTCCCCCCCCTTTTTTAATAGTAATAAGTGATTTCAAAAATTAAGATCAACACCTTCTCAAAAAGTAGATTATGGACTTTGGGTTAAGACATTAATGGTATATTTCTCTCTACTTAGCTAGTGAACAGTCCCAGTGCCCCACTAATTAGCCAAGTGCATTCTTCAGAAAATTAACAGCCCACAGAAAGACTTACATTTTGCTTCACATCCACAAGACAATTTTCTTACTCATCTATTTTCCTGATTGACTCCTTAAGAACTTAACTTAAAACTTTTTCATTGCTTTGCATTTATAATTGCAGCATGATTGTTCAGTTTTACTAGGTTAATTGAGATAATTTGCTTTCTTTAACTTTAGAAAAAAAAAATTTTTTTTTTTGTCCTTTTTTTTTGAGACCGGCCACACCACGCTCAGCCAGTGAGCACTGTGAGCGCACCGGTCATCCCTATATAGGATCCGAACCCGCAGTGGGAGCATTGCTGCGCTCCCAGGGCCGCACTCTCCCGAGTGTGCCATGGGCTTGGCCCTTAGAAAAAATTTTAATTCAATAAAAACAAAACAGAGATCCCTGTCCTCAGGGTACTTATATATTTGGGGTGAGGTTGTGGGGTGGGGTGGATGCACATAATAAATGCTACCATGTAGTATTTCAAAAAGTGATAAGTGCTATGACTAAAAATAAATAAATAAACAAAAATAAGAAAAATAAATAAATTGAGCAAGATAAAAGGAAATTGAAAT